CACGTCCTTGGCGTGGTCTGTGGGTGTGTCGGTGTGTATGTCCTTGGCACGGTCTGTGGGTGTGTCAGTGTGCACGTCCTTGGCGTGGTCTGTGGGTGTGTTGGTGTGCACGTCCTTGGTGCGGTCTGTGGGTGTGTCGGTGTGTACGTCCTTGGCACGGTCTGTGGGTGTGTCGGTGTGCATGTCCTTGGCACGGTGTGTGGATTTCCTTGGCGTGGTCTGTGGGTGTGTTGGTGTGCATGTCCTTGGCTCGGTGTGTGGGTGTGTTGGTGTGCACGTCCTTGGTGCGGTCTGTGGGTGTGTCAGTGTGCACGTCCTTGGCACGGTGTGTGGGTGTGTCGTTACAGCAGTAGCAGGGCTGCTGCCATCAAATACGGAGCTCACGCTGTAACCTGTAACCCAGCGGCTTCACAGTCAGGCACCCGTTCCCCAGGAGAAAAGAGTCAATTCATTCTCAGAGAGCGTGTAGTTTAGGAACGTCATCTTTCAGGAGAGCTGCGCCCTGTGGCTCACAGCATGACGCTCCCCCTCAACCCCCAAGCAGCTGAGCAGCTGAGTCAGCCCTGGAACATGGACTTTAGGTTCTCCACCTGTTAAACTACAGGGAAATGCCAGGTGGTCTCACTCGCAGGCGGAACACTGGAGAAGCAGCACGTGGTGCAGGGAAAGCAGCTGTGGCTCCGGGGGGTAGCAGGAGCCGTGCGTGCATCCAACAGTGGAGCGGGTGTTTCCCGGATCAGAAGGGAGCGCGGGGTGGGAGGGGTGAAGCAGCAGTCTCTCCAGAGGCAGCAGCAGGTTGACAGAAACCTTCCTGTGGCTCGTCCGGGAGCTCCCTGGACGCCTCATCGTGAGACCAGGTCTGGGCAGAAGGGAACAGCAGAGAAACGGGTGCCTGTGTGGGCCAGGACGTCCACCTGTGGGTGCCTATGGTAAGGGTCAGCTGGGGGCCTGCAGAGTTACTGCAGGGACGTGCACCAGTCAGTCCCCAGGCCTGGGTGCAGTGGCTTCCCTAGGGGTCCCCTCTACGTACGTGGCAGGGTCCTGGGGCGAGCGTCTCCTCCGAGGACATTCCCTTTAGAAGCGCCCTGGTCTCCATTAAAGTGTTTTAATTAAAAACACAATAGTTCATCTGTGTGTACTTGAAAGACAGAGATATGGGGGAGGGGGAGACGGGGCACACTGACAGGGTGCCTCCCCATCAGCTGGTTCCCTCCCCCAAGTGTCTACAAGCAAGGTCAAACCCAAGTGCCCAGGTCTCCCAGGTGGGCGGCCGGCACCTAACACCTGAGCCAGGGCCCTCTCACGCGGAGGGTGTGCGTTAGCGGTCGGCTGGAATCCAGAGCAAAACTGGAACTGGAATCCGTGCGCTCTGTAAGGGATCAGCGCAACCCTAGTGATGGCTGAAGCCCTGTGCCAAAGGCCTCCCCTGCGTCTGTATTTTACAGAGAAATAAACACTGAAATGTACACAGGAAACATTAGAAAGCCACTGGAAACACATTCAGCCCCTAATAAAGTGTGATCAGGTTTCACCTCAACAACGTAATTAACACAGGAATTACTTTTTAAAATGTTAAAGCACTTTAATACTTTTATTTTCGGCCGTCATAGCTCCAGCCCTATCACATACGACTATTTCAGGAAATGCAGCAGTGAGACCCAGACGTGCACGCGTGGCTGGCGGGAGAGGAGATTCCGTCAGCTGACCCGGCCGTGGGAAGTCCCACGGTTCTCTGGGTTTTGACACCATCACAGATGAACAGTTTTCCTGCTATCAACTCCAGCCCTGCAGGCTTCCGGGCCCAAGAGTCTCAGGAAACAACACGGCAGCCCGGGTTCAAGCCACCCGCACCCCGGCCGTTCTCTCTGGACGCCCGGCCGTCCCAGCCCTGCTGGGCCGCTCCCCTGCTCCGTGTCCTGTGCCCCTGCTCAGCTCTCGTCCACGCATCGGCCATGTGGAGCCCCGTCTGGAGTCTTCTGTCTGACGCGGCACAGCTTCTGAGCTTCGTGTGGACAGCGGGTAGCAGCCACCGCTCCGTCTCACTGCTGAGGGACCCCGTTGTGCAGGTGTGCCACCGTTGGCTTACCGACTCCTCACTGGTTAGGGCTCTTTAGTTACTCCCCGTTCTACGTAAACCTTCTCAAAGCACTCGGGCCATGGTCTTGCGGGGGGAAAATGTTTTAATTCTTCTTGGGCAAACAGGACTGAAAGTGCTGGATTCTATTTATTTATTTATTTTTATTTTTTGACAGGCAAAGTGGACAGTGAGAGAGAGAGACAGAGAGAAAGGTCTTCCTTTGCCGTTGGTTCACCCTCCAATGGCCGCCGCGGCCGGTGCGCTGTGGCCGGCGCACTGCGCTGATCCGATGGCAGGAGCCAGGTGCTTCTCCTGGTCTCCCATGGGGCGCAGGGCCCAAGCACTTGGGCCATCCTCCACTGCACTCCCTGGCCACAGCAGAGAGCTGGCCTGGAAGAGGGCAACCGGGACAGAATCCGGCGCCCTGACCGGGACTAGAACCTGGTGTGCCGGCGCTGCTAGGCGGAGGATTAGCCTGTTGAGCCGCGGCGCCGGCGAAAGTGCTGGATTCTATGACAAGCACATGTCTAGAATCCCCAGCAACTTCACCAAGTGACGAGCAGAGCATGCCATGAGCTCTGAGGAGGTTTCCAGCTTTCTCAACTCTTGCCGACACTTGACGCACCTGCCAGACGTTGGGATCCAGCCTCCATTCGCCAGCGTCTGGGCTGTGTCCCTGGAAGGTCCCTAGGGACCAACAGTGCTGCGAATCTTCTCGTATTATTAATGTAACTATCAGAATAGTTTCTGTGTAACATCTTTTCTAACATTCTGCCCTGTTACTGGTCTCTCACCAGGCTGTGATCTTTCCTTATGGATTCCAATTGCAAGTCTTTTTATTTCCTTTTCTGGTACTTCTCCTAGCCTGTAGCAAGTGTGTGTGTATGTTGGAGGGGGTACTTAGCTTTTTGTTTAATCAATGAGGTGTTTTGAAAACTTTTTTTTCATGTTAATGAAGTCCAGTTCGTCAGGAATTGTCTGTGGGTCATGCGTTCTTGTCATTTAAGAAAACATCTCCAGGTAAGCCAGGACCACAGACATTCTCTTTCATGCTTTGTTGTAAAAGCTCCAGACCACCGGGTTTACATTTAGCTGAGCGATTTATATGGTAAAATTGTATGCATCCCAAAGCTCTAGAGCCATCTGTGTGGAACCACACTCCCTGTAAGTCGTCTTCAGTGGTTTGCTGAAAATCAAGTGACCACCAATACCAGGATTTGTTCATGGACTCTGTTCCCTCCTACCATGTACCATGTGTGCCACGTGTGCCTCACCAGTGCCTTGATTACTGTAGGTTTCCAGTAAAATTCCAACAGTGTAAATCCCTCAGCTTTGTTCCTCTTCTGACCATCCTGTTACTGTTCTCCAGGTTCTCACCAGGACCTTGACAGATGTTCCAGGGAGCCTGTAGGTGAGGGGAGAAGAATTGTCATGCCAGCTACGCTGAGTCTCCCGGTGCCTGGCCACAGGAGAAGAATTGTCACCTTGGCTACGCTGAATTTCCCGATGCCTGGCCACAGGACATGTGCACGTTTATTTACACTGCAGAGCGTGCATGCCTAAGTCTGGGGACGAACAATGGGTGTAGGGCCAGCACCATGGCTCACTTAGTTAATCCTCCGCCTGCGGTGCCGGCATCCAATATGGGTGCCAGGTTCTAGTCCTGGTCGCTCCTCTTCCAGTCCAGCTCTCTGCTGTGGCCCGGGAAGGCAATAGAAGATGGCCCAAGTGCTTGGACCCTGCACCTGCATGGGAGACCAGGAGGAAGTACCTGGCTCCTGGCTCCGGATAGGCGCAAAGCACCGGCCATGTCTGCCATTTGGGGGGTGAACCAATGGAAGGAAGACCTTTCTCTCTGTCTCTCTTTCACTGTCTATAACTCTACCTGTCAAAAAAAAAATGTGCCCAAGAGTGAGGACTGACTGTGCATCCCTGAGTGTGAGGACTGACTGTGCGCCCCTGAGGCTGAGAGCTGACTGTGTGCCCCAAGACTGAGGACTGACTGTGTGCCCCGAGGCTGAGAGCTGACTGTGTGCCCCAAGGCTGAGGGCTGACTGTGCACGTGCCTGTGCTTAATTTCCTCGCGCTAGCTTTCACGCCCTCCCCACCTACACAGTTACCCGCTGTTACTCAGAACAGACCCGCCTTCTCGTTTGGCAAGATTGCTTTGCTAAATGTCAAGCCTATTAGTTTTATGCTGCCTCTTCTCTCTTTAATGAGGCAGGTTGTCTCTGTGAGTTAGTGTTCTGCCTTCCCCTGAAACACTGTCTCTCCTTCAAACATGCACCAAGCATACCTCTTGGAAATGACTTTTCTTTCCTGAGAAACCATTGGTTTTGTTTTCTGATTTCTTCAGGACAAAAATACTTTGTTGCCAAGTGTCTTTCACAGTCAATTCTTGTCCTGGGTCTGCGGCATCTAACAGTATAATTTATAATGTAACTACAATGAATAGTACAAAATGTCTCCCCATGGGTTTTTTTTTAGAGATTTACTTATTTACTTATTTCAAAGGCTGAGTTATGGAGAGAGAGAGACAGAGAGACAGAGAGAGAGAGAGAGATCCTCTCCATCCGATGGTTCACTCTCCAAATGGCTGTAACAACCAGAGCTGTGCCAATCGGAAGCCAGGAGCTCCTCCCAGGTCTTCCACGTGCATACAGGGCCCAAGGACTTGGGGCATCCTCTGCTGCTTTCCCAGACACATTAGCAGGGAGCTGGATCGGAAGAGGAGCAGCCGGGACTTGAGCCGGCGCCCATATGGGATGCCAGCACTGCAGACAGTGGCTTCACTCACTACATCACAGCGCAGACCCCAGTTCTTGTTCTGGGTCTATGGCATCTAATAGAATAATTTATAATGTAACTACAATGAATAGTATGAAATATTTCCCCATGTTTTCTAAAAAAGACTTATGCAGAGGGGCAGAGGCTCTTCCGCCAGGCACCAGTCAAGCTTGCCGTGTCCTCTCCTCTCCTCTGTCTGCCTTTGGAACGCGAAGGCAGAACACAGCAGGCCTGGCCAGTCCCACCACGTGCTGCTCCACCTGCCCTGTGGCTCACTCGTCAGGCAAACCACTTGGAAGGAACACTGAGTGTGGGAAGAGCACTGAGCAGCTTCAGCCCATGGGGAGGAGGTGTGGACAGGCTCAGCCCACAGGGAGGAGGTATGGACAGGCTCAGCCCATGGGGAGGAGGTGTAGACAGGCTCAGCCCACGGGGAGGAGGTGTAGACAGGCTCAGCCCACAGGGAGGAGGTATGGACAGGCTCAGCCCACAGGGAGGGGGTGTGGACAGGCTCAGCCCACAGAGAGGAGGTGTAGACAGGCTCAGCCCATGGGGAGGAGGTGTAGACAGGCTCAGCCCACAGAGAGGAGGTGTAGACAGGCTCAGCCCATGGGGAGGAGGTGTGGACAGGCTCAGCCCACGGGGAGGAGGTGTGGACAGGCTCAGCCCACGGGGAGGAGGTGTAGACAGGCTCAGCCCACGGGGAGGAGGTGTAGACAGGCTCAGCCCACAGGGAGGAGGTGTAGACAGGCTCAGCCCATGGGGAGGAGGTGCAGACAGGCTCAGCCCACAGGGAGGAGGTATGGACAGGCTCAGCCCACAGGGAGGAGGTGCAGACAGGCTCAGCCCATGGGGAGGAGGTGTGGACAGACTCAGCCCACGGGGAGGAGGTGTGGACAGGCTCAGCCCACAGGGAGGAGGTATGGACAGGCTCAGCCCATGGGGAGGAGGTGCAGACCAGCACTGCCCACCCTCCTCTCTCCCCCCTCCGCCTCCCCCTCCCCCTCCCTCTCCGGAGTCATCTGTGGCCTCTTGGAAACGTGAAGACTGTTTCTGGGAGGGAGAAGGAGGTCACCTCAGGCCTGGTGTGAGGACAGCTGCACGCACAGTCTTTCTCGCTACCTGGGATCTGGAGTAGAACAGAGAGGGCAGCGTGTCGTGGAGTCACTGGCAGCAGGGCGTGGTGCGTCTGCCCAGGCGGCAGCTTGGAGCGAGGAGGTGAGGACACTTTGCACAGGTAGCTCAGGGCCAGAGGCGTCAGCAGGGACAGGGAGGAGCAGAGAGACGTTCTCATGTCAGTCACTGGCTGAGGAGCCGCTCCGTGAACTGGTGCCCTGTAGGCAGCCTTTGGACAAGTCAAGGCCAGTCTTGGCTTGTGGAGTTCTTGGGATAAGAAAGTCACACACTCCCATCCGGAAGGAGGATGATAATCAAGAACGCTCTGTTGAAGTTATCTGTGCCACCAGAGGCCCCGATAAGTTGCTTACGTACATTGTTATCTTTTGTGCTTCTTTGTGCTGGTTATGTATAAATACCTCCGAGACACTGGAATAAACGAGCCTTGATCAGCCTTGTTGTCCTGGCTCCATTCTCTGCGATCGCTCGTCTCTCTTTTAGGTCCCTCTCCCTCCCTCAGGTTCCGTTTGACTGGTGCGGCTGACCCGCACAGTGTCCTGGGGGGTCACCTCACCTGCTCCCTTGCCCTGGGTGACAGGGATGGGGCGCCCCCAGGTGACTGTGGATGAGCACAGGCTCTCTGTGCCCCAGGCTGAGGAGCTGAGCGCCCCCTAGTGACAGTCCCGGCTGCAGGGGCGTCTGGATGCAAGCTTGCTCATTTCCCATTCCTCTGTTTGTGTCCTAAGCTGTGTTTGGGTTCTCTCCCGAGTTCCGTTTCCAGGGACGGCAGTGTCCACCCCTGGGTTCCCTTCGTGTGTCTTTGTTATCTGTCATTTTCCTCCGGTCTCTTTCCATCTCGTCTTCTGTGTTTGCTTCCTTCTGAGTGTCACGTGAACTCCATCTTGCCCGATCGGGACTTTCTAAGCAAGAAATGGGCAGGCTCCCGGGGCCACACGGGGCTCCTGGGGCCACACGGCCTCCCTGGAGAAGCCCGGCCCAGTCTGTGGATCCCACAGGGATTCCTCTTTGCACCTGCTCTCTGGACTCCCTGCTCCCTTACAGTCCCTGGCTGGTCCGTGTCTCTTCTTTATATATTTTAAACGTGCAGCTTTAGTTTTTATCTTTATTTTCATGGCCTTTAATTCAGGCTTGCAAAGGAAAATACAGTTGAAGTTACCTTGCTTCATTAGTTTGATTTTGGTCCTTTTCCGAATCTGTTCCTTGTTCATAAGATTTTTATCGATGTGGGAGCTACTGAAGGAGACAAGGATAAAGACGAATGCAGTATCTGCAGCAATCGTCGAGAGCCAACTTCAGAGGGTGACGATGGCGGACTGTGCTATATTAGCCCTTCCAGGAGAACAGACTTCAAGGTTCTCATGAACTCTCGTTGAACCTAAGTGCTGACTTGCTTCCCGAGACGTAAGTGAACCTCGGCGCATGGCAGCCTGAATGAGAGACAAACACAAGCCACATTCTGAGACAGAGACGCCCCACACCTTCGCTGGCAGATCTGTTTCTAGAATACTTACCGGCACAGAAACGCATGAAAGAAGACAGGAAGGAAAAAGTGAAACTGCGTCACCTGCAGGTGGAACAGTCTGACCAAGACGAGCTTTCACGCTCGCCTAGCTGTAGGGAGGACGAGAGAGCGAGATTACGGACTCGTTTCGTGCAGTACACAAGGCGCCGTCCGCTCCTGGAAGGCGCATTTCACTGCCACGTGAGTGATGTCTCTCCAGCGTGTGAGAGGCTGAGCCGTGGGAGTGAGGGATCCGGAAGGGTCAACACAGTGCCCGGCTCTCCTGAGGCTGACAGAGGACAACTCCTCATGGGACGTGAGATTGAAACGCAGGAGCCTGGGAACGACCCCATGGACAGCCAAGCTTTGCAACCAAACTCTGCCTCCTCTTTGACATCCTGCTCGCACAAAGATCGGGACGTGTGGATAGATGCGTCTGTGGACGAGACTCTGCGGGGTGCTGCATGTTCCTAGCTCCCCCTAGTCCACTCTCATTTGCAATGGCAGGAGTGGATTACAGTCTCCTGGGGCCTGAGCGCTCCTACAGTGCCGGCATTTACTCTGCCCCTGGTTCTTAGACCCGTCTGAACGTTAACACCACAGCCTGCATTTCGTAAATGGGGACAGCGAAGACTGACAAGGATAAGTAACTCATGCACGACAAACGAGACGGTGGTGAGACGTTTGAACCCACAGCGCCCCCACTCCAGGCCTGTACTACTCTGAGCTCTGTCCACGTCACAGGTGCTCAGACTGTGCTCCACGGGTGTTGGAGTCATTCATAGTCATGCCGATCCCTCACGGATCTCTGAGGCAGTGACTAAGTACATGGGAGCAGATCTGGGTAGAATGGATGGGTTATAGAGTTTCCCCATTGCGGGTGTATGCAAAGAACCATCCAGGCATATTCTTTGGCACTAAAGACTCCCGGGAAACAGACCGTGTCACAGAGATGCTGTGCCACACTGGGGTCCAACCAAGAGTCTTCCTGGAGAGACCGGCAAGAAGCACCCAGTGTGCAGGCAGCTCTGTCTCGGTGAAGAGCTCGCTTACTTTTGCAAAGCAATGAAATTCGAAACTCCACGTGTAAGATTTTGACAAACCGTCTGAGTCTTAAAAATGTAATGCCAAAGATGTGCCCCTCACTGGAACGTCAGGGTGTGTTGTAACCCTGGCCCGTGGCACATGGCCTTGGCAGTCAGCAGACCTAACTTCTAATTCCAGCGATATCACCTTCTATTCCCATTATGCTGGGAAACTCTCTCACTTGGAGACGGGGTTTCCCAGTGTGAACGTGACTCTGTGAGTCATTGTGTGGATACAGCAGAATTGAAGATGAAAAGCCTCCATTATACTCCCTGATGCTCAGTAGATGGAAAATAAGTCTGCATCATTATCTGTTGCTGCACAAAAAGCCAGTCCCACAGCGAATGCCCTGAGCCAATGTCCGGTTCTTGTGCTGTTGGTCCTGGGGCAGCACTGGCGTCAGATGAGCAGGCGATGTCCAGCTGCCCACACTGGGGTCACCTCTCGTCCAGCCAGGAGTGGCCTCACCTTACGTCTGCCTCCACACGTCTCCCGCTGGGTGGTCCAGACTCACTCCTGCGACAGAGGATGCACTCCCAGAACCCAGGGATGCACACGCACGCCCCCTCCCCCCCGAGCACCACTCTCTCTAGCGTGTCAGCCACATCAGGCCCCAGGGCCAGGGGGAGGGGCACTGGGGGTGGACTTGTAGAACTTCTCTCCCTAAGCTGATGTTGCAAGTCTCAACTTTGAAAGCCAGATCCATGTCAAGGTAGGAGAGTGAAAAGATTACAGCGTTCCTCAGACACTGGCATAAACAGAAGCCCCAACATTTACTAAGTTCACGTCTTTTGACAATAGTGAGTGTCAGGTTCTCACCCATAGCATGGAGCGACAGCAGTGCCTGGCCCGTGGGGCAGGAATCAAGGGAGAGCGGTAGGGGTGTTCTGCACACAGTGAGGTGTCACAGCCACACCCGTCTTGCCTGCATGTCGCATCATTTGTTCTCCTCTGGGAAGACTTCGCTGAGCGTCTCCAGGGCTGCAGGCCCTGCTGAGTGGCACTTAGTGCACCTGGCTGTCCCCTGCGTGAAGAATGCTGTCTGAGCATTGCCGTGTGCGTATCCACACAGCCACGCATGCACCTGCAGCCTTCCATACGGATCCCCGCGACAGCTAACTGCATTGTCGATTAGTGAGGAATGCTGTCCTATGCTGTAAAACTTACTCCTGAACAGAAACGTACGCTCGCTCGCCAATTAGAAGGAGCTGAAGAAGAGAGTTGCCAGACAAAATGGCAGGGACACTGGCAAACCACGCAGTGAGGGAGGTGCTGTCGTCTCCACTAGGCTCGACAGCGAGGGCGGCGCAGAACCCCTCGGTCACGTTATCCTGCCGAAAGACTGACGAGCGGCAGGAGCAAGCAGAACTCGAATCCACGTAGTCCGACTCTGACATCACAGATTCTTTGAATGAAATATTGTGCTATAGTGACTACGCCAATGCGGAAAAAAGAGGAGGAAGTGGATGAGGAAGAGCCGGGAAGCGCCAGGAGCTTGGGTAACCAAAGTTAAACGGCCGGGTGGCGCCAGGTAGCCTGCAGGGGCAGGATCTCACCCTAACCCCTCCTCCCACCACTCCTGGAACTCCTGCAGTTTGGGGACTTTCCTGGCCCAAACCCTGTATCCTTAGGGGGCAGAGCTGGCTTTGTTCCTGTGTGTGCGCCCTCTGGTGGCAGCTGCTGCAGGGCCTGGCGCCCCAGATCCAGGGTGAGAAGGACCTCAAAGCTGTCGTTCTCTCCTTTCTAGGAAGTCTTCTCGTTTTACATAGAGCTGACACATTCCGAAGCCGTCGTAACCAAGTCAGAGCAGAGCACCTGGGGACCGGGCCGGGCTGTCACAGGCATGGAGGGCCCCACGCAGCGCCCTGCAGAGCCCCCGGGCCAGGGAGCAAGGCCTCCTTTCTCCAGAGGCACTGGGCGGGATGAGGGGAGGTGGACAGCACCTGGGCTTGCACCGAAGCCCCCCGATGTGTCTGTCGCTTCACTTACCTGTCGAGTCTATGGACACAGTTGGACGGAAGAACCAGTCACAAACGCTGCTGGACGCCAGCCGGCCGGCTCCCTGGTGCTGCTTCAGCTTTCTGGAGCCGTGATCGTGCGTTACTGAGTTAGACACTCGTCAGTGGCAGCACGGCCTGAAACTGTCTTTGCCGCACGTCTCTCCTG